TATGTCAGATTTGTAAGATCGATCTGCTCGCAAAATCGGTTATGCAATAAGTCTAAAGTGTAAAAGTGAAAGAATAACTTGAAGTTTTCGATTGAGTTTACAGCCGGTAACTAAGAAGAAGAAGAAGAAGAAGAAGAAGAAGAAGAAGAAGAAGAAGAAGAAGAAGAAGAAGAAGAAGAAGAAGAAGAAGAAGAAGAAGAAGAAGAAGAAGAAGAAGAAGAAGAAGAAGAAGAAGAAGAAGAAGAAGAATACTGTAACTTCTTTCTCTCTGTCTCTCTTTCTCCCTCTCTCTCTCCCTCTCTCTCTCCCTCTCTCTCTCCCTCTCTCTCTCTCTCTCTCTCGCTCTCGCTCTCTCCCTCGCTCAGTCACTCACACACACTCAATCAATACATACACCCACACTCTCTCCCTCGCTTGGTCACTTATACACTCTCTTTCCCTCGCTCAGTCACTCACACACACACACACTCTCTCCCCCTCTCTCCCTATCTCTCTCTAATATAAAGTTACCACATTCTATTATTTGTCTTGTATATATATTTTACACAATATATAACACGAACATCAGCTTATTTTATATATATATATATATATATATATATATATATATATATATATATATATATATATATATATATATATATATATATATATATATATATACATATATACATATATATATATATACATATAAACACAAACATCAAAAACAAACATCAAACACAAACATCAAAAACAAACATTAAAAACCAACACCAAAAACAAACCTTAAAAAACATTTTTAAAACATCAAAAACATACATCAAAAACAATAATTAAAAACAAACATCAAAAACAAACATCAAAAACAAACATCAAAAACAAACATCACAAACAAACATAAAAAACAATCTGTAACAGACACAAAAACATATTTAAACATGTCGGGACCGCCACAAGTCTGACACGGTCCTCCAGACGGAGCTTTAGATAGACTTAGTTGTCTGGGGAGCTTGGGGGAGGACCTAGCTGTATGAGCAGCTTGGGGGAGGACCTGGCTGTATGGGCAACCTTGGGGAAGGATCTGGCTGTATGGGCAACTTGGGGAAGGATCTGGCTGTATGGGCAACTTGGGGGAGGACCTAGCTGTATGGGCAACTTTGGGGAGGACCTAGCTGTATGGGCAACCTGGGGGAGGACCTAGCTGTATGGGCAACTTGGGGGAGGACCTAGCTGTATGGGCAACTTCGGAGAGGACCTGGCTTTATGGGCAGCTTGGGGGAGGACCTGGCTGTATGGGCAACTTGGGGGAGGACCTGGCTGTATGGGCAACTTCGGAGAGGACCTGGCTGTATAGGCAACTTGGGGGAGGACCTGGCTGTATGGGCAACTTGGGGGAGGACCTGGCTGTATGGGCAACTTCGGAGAGGACCTGGCTGTATGGGCAACTTCCGAGAGGATCTGGTTGTATGGGCAACTTCGGAGAGGACGTGACAGTATGGGAAACTTCAGGGAAGACATGACAGTATGGGCAACTTCGGGGACGACATGACAGTATGGGCAACTTCGGGGAGGACATGACAGTATGGGCAACTTCGGGGAGGACCTGGCTGTGTGGGCAACTTCGGGGAAGACATGGCTGTATGGGCAACTTCGGGAAGTTCATGGCTTTATGTGCAACTTCGGGGAGGACCTGCCTGTGTGGGCAACTTCGGGGAGGACCTGGCTGTGTGGGCAACTTCGGGGAAGACATGGCTGTATGGGCAACTTCGGGGAAGATCCCCCATCCATGGGAAACTTCGGGGAGGACATGGCTGTATAGGCAACTTCGGAGAGGATATGGCTGTATGGGCAACTTTTCTAAGGAGACTCAGAAAAGACTTGACTGTTTGGGGAAACTCAGAAAGAACCTAACTGTTGGAATACACAGAAGGACTTAACTGTTTGGGCAGACGCACAAAACACCTAACTGTATGGGGAGACACATAAATGACCTAACTGTATGAGGAAAATCAGAAATTACCTAACTGTATGGGGAGCCTCAGAAATGTCTCAAGTGTATGGGGAGACTCTGAAATGTCCTAACTTTATGTGGAGTCTCACGAATGGCCTAACTATCTGGGGATACACAGAAAGGAACTAACTGTACGAGAAGACACAGAAATGACCTAACTGTACTGGGAGACACAGAAATGACCTAACTGTATGGGGAGACTCAGCAATGACCTAACTGTGTGGGGAGACACGGAAATAAGCTAACTGTCTGGGAAGACACAAAAAGGACCTAGCTTTATGGGGTCACAAATGACTTAACAATCTGGGCAAACTCAGAAAGGGACTAACTGTCACGGGAGATTCAGAAATGACTTAACTGTCTGGGAATTCTCAGAAAGGACATAACTGTTTAGGAAGACGCCAAGAGTCTGGGTAGCCGTCCACTCACAACAGGTGTGTCTGGCACTGTGTCAGCTCTCACTGACAACCGTTAGATCGCGGGAAATGGAGGGGGTTGGGTGTGTTCTCTGTTTTTGTTTTTCTCAAGACATCGAATGTCAACAAATCCATTTATAATCTGGATCTACACACCTAGGCGAGCAGGAGTAAAGGGTAAGGAAAGAGCTGACCAGCTGGCAAGTAATGCCCCAATGCAAACAGAAAGAAGCATGAACAAAGCTGATATTATCCACGCTGTACGCACTGGGTTAGGGGATAGTAGTGAATCTCTGACGCTAACACGACTGCGTAACCAAGAAGTTAAGCTTGGTGAAGCACGTCTATGCAGTCGTCGAGGTAAAGACAGAAGATACTATAACGAACTCCTCAGGGAAACAATCAGTAGAGGTACCTTGAAGTGGCTGTCTCATCCGAGGACTGAGCACGCATGTTCAAAGACGTCGATTGTGATGACATAACATAACCTAACATTTATCATCGAATGCTGATAGAATACGCCAGATTTGATGAAAAAACATTTGTAAGAATGCGTGAACGAGAAATTAGATTTTAAAAAACATGTGTAAGAATGAGTGAACGTGGAATTAGATGAAAAAGCATGTGTAAGAATGCGGGAACGAGGAATTAGATGAAAAAAACAAGTGTAAGAATGAGTGAACGTGGAATTAGATGAAAAACATGTGTAAGAATGCGTGAACGAGAAATTAGATGAAAAAACATGTGTAAGAATGCGTGAACGAGAAATTAGATGAAAAACATGTGTAAGAATGAGTGAACGAGGAATTAGATGAAAAAACATGTGTAAGATTGAGTGAACGAGGAATTAGATGAAAAAACATGTGTAAGAATGCGTGAACGAGAAATTAGATGAAAAACATGTGTAAGATTGAGTGAACGAGGAATTAGATGAAAAAACATGTGTAAGATTGAGTGAACGAGGAATTAGATGAAAAAACATGTGTAAGAATGCATGAACGTAGAATTAGATGAAAAAAACATGTGTAAGAATGCGTGAACCAGGAATTAGATGAAAAAACATGTGTAAGAATGAGTGAACGTGGAATTAGATGAAAAAAACATGTGTAAGAATGCGTGAACGTCGAATTAGAAAAAAAAAACATGTGTAAGAATGCGTGAACGTGGAATTAGATGAAAAAAACATGTGTAAGAATGAGTGAACGTGGAATTAGATGAAAAAAACATGTGTAAGAATGAGTGAACGAGGAATTAGATGAAAAAACATGTGTAAGATTGAGTGAACGAGGAATTAGATAAAAAAACATGTGTAAGAATTAGTGAACGTGGAATTACATGAAAAAACATCTGTAAGAATGCGTGAACGGGGAATTAGATGAAAAAGCATGTGTAAGAATGAGTGAACGAGGAATTAGATGAAAAAACATGTGTAAGAATGAGTGAACGTGGAATTAGATTAAAAAACATGTGTAAGAATGCGTGAACGTGGAATTAGATGAAAAAACATGTGTAAGAATGAGTGAACGTGGAATTAGATGAAAAAACATGTGTAAGAATGCGTGAACGTGGAATTACACGAAAAAACATTTGTAAGAATGAGTGAACGTAGAATTAGATGGAAAAAAAACATGTGTAAGAATGCGTTAACGTGGAATTAGATGAAAAACATGTGTAAGAATGAGTGAGCGAGGAATTAGATGAAAAAACATGTGTAAGAATGCGTGAACGTGGAATTAGATTAAAAAAAAACATGTGTAAGAATGAGTGAACGTGGAATTAGATGAAAAAACATTAGTAAGAATGCATGAAGGTGGAATTAGATGAAAAAACATTAGTAAGAATGCATGAAGGTGGAATTAGATGAAAAAACCTGTGTAAGAATGAGTGAACGTGGAATTAGATTAAAAACATGTGTAAGAATGAGTGAACGAGGAATTAGATGAAAAAACATTTGTAAGAATGAGTGAACGTGGAATTAGGTGTGGGTCGGACAAGGAGGAGCGTATGAGAGGAATAGAAAGAGAAGTTTATAATCAGTGTGCTACCTCTTAGCATCTACACATTAAGAGAGGGAGAGGGAGCACCTATGGGTATTCCGGTGTGCCGTGAAGTCATTTTTAAATCAGTAAAACAATCTGCCTGTCCTCTAGAACAATGAATTTACACCCGGTCAGTGTTAACGTCATTCTGTCGTTTGTTTCAGAGCCGAAGTTCCTGATGGAGAACTCAAGAAAAGATCACTGAACACGCTAGCACCAGCAACTAAGATACCAGAGAAGACAGTCGATTCCATGGGAAATACCTTCATCAAACGATCAATCGACCCTATCGGTAGCAGCTTTATCAAAAAAGAGATCCCTTCCAATAGAGAAGCTTTCACCAAACAACAGACCATCGATTCCATCGGCAGAAACATGATCAGACAAATCGGTACACATTCAAGTCCTTTCCTCAAAAAACCTGGCTTTATCAAAAGAGAGATCCGTTCTTTCATCAGAAAACCAAATGATTCCCCTGGCAACAGGTTTATCAAAAGCGAATTAGACCTCAACGGTAATGATCTAAACCGACCGACACACTCTGCTTTTGAGTCAGACGCATACTATGACGATGTGAACGAAGACGATTACCACGAATTCAAACGAGGCATTGATTCGATCGGCAGTAGTTTTATCAAGAAAAGTATCGATTCTATTGGAAGTTCCTTCATTAAGCGACCAGTCGATTCTATTGGAAGCAGTTTCATCAAAAGAGGTATCGATTCTATTGGAAGTTCTTTTATCAAACGACCAGTCGATTCCACTGGAACTAGTTTTATTAAAAAAGGTATCGATTCTATTGGAAGTTCATTTATCAAACGACCAGTCGATTCCATTGGAAGTAGTTTTATCAAAAGAGGTATCGATTCTATTGGAAGTTCATTTATCAAGCGACCAGTCGATTCCATTGGAAGTAGTTTTATCAAAAGAGGTATCGATTCTATTGGAAGTTCATTTATCAAGCGACCAGTCGATTCCATTGGAAGCAGCTTTATCAAAAGAGGTATCGATTCTATTGGGAGTTCTTTTATCAAACGACCAGTCGATTCCATGGGAAGTAGTTTTATCAAAAGAGGTATCGATTCTATTGGAAGTTCATTTATCAAGCGACCAGTCGATTCCATTGGAAGCAGCTTTATCAAAAGAGGTATCGATTCTATTGGGAGTTCTTTTATCAAACGACCAGTCGATTCCATTGGAAGTAGTTTTATCAAAAGAGGTATCGATTCTATTGGAAGTTCATTTATCAAGCGACCAGTCGATTCCATTGGAAGCAGTTTTATCAAAAGAGGTATCGATTCTATTGGAAGTTCTTTTATCAAACGACCAGTCGATTCCATTGGAAGTAGTTTTATCAAAAGAGGTATCGATTCTATTGGAAGTTCTTTTATCAAGCGACCAGTCGATTCCATTGGGAGCAGTTTTATCAAAAGAGGTATCGATTCTATTGGAAGTTCTTTTATCAAACGACCAGTCGATTCCATTGGCAGTAGTTTTATCAAAAAAGAGATCGAAACCACTGGAGATGCTTTCACTACAAGACACGTCGCTGACTCCATCAGTAGCACAATGCCCAGAACATTCAGTTCCCAGTCAAGTTCTTTCGTCAGAGAACCAAATGATTCCCCTGGCAACAGCTTTATCAAAAACGAATCAGATCTCACCGGAAATGACCTGAACGGACCGACACACTCTGCCCTCGAGTCAGACGCATACTATGACTATGTGGACGAAGACGATTACCACGAACTCAAACGAGGAATCGACTCCATTGGCAGTAGTTTCGTCAAGAAAAGTATAGATTCTATTGGAAGTTCCTTTATCAAGCGACCAGTCGATTCTATTGGCAGTAGTTTTATCAAAAGAGGTATCGATTCTATTGGAAGTTCTTTTATCAAGCGACCAGTCGATTCTATTGGCAGTAGTTTTATCAAAAGAGGTATCGATTCTATTGGAAGTTCCTTTATTAAGCGACCAGTCGATTCTATTGGCAGTAGTTTTATCAAAAGAGGTATCGATTCTATTGGAAGTTCCTTTATCAAGCGACCAGTCGATTCTATTGGCAGTAGTTTTATCAAAAGAGGTATCGATTCTATTGGAAGTTCCTTTATCAAGCGACCAGTAGATTCTATTGGAAGTAGTTTTATCAAAAGAGGTATCGATTCTATTGGAAGTTCCTTTATCAAGCGACCAGTAGATTCTATTGGAAGTAGTTTTATCAAATGAATAATAGAATTTATTTTCAATTTCGTTTCTCAAGCGACCAGTAAATTCTATTAGAAGTAGTGTAATCAAAAATTGTATAGATTCTATTGAAAGCTCCCTTATTAAATGTCCAGTCTATTACATTGGAAGTTCCTTTATCAAGCGACCTGTTGATTTCACTGGAAGCTAATATATTAAGCAGCCAGTAGATTCCATTGAAAGTAGTTTTATCAAGAAAGGTAGAGATCACATTGGAAGTAAAAAAAAAAGGTATGGATTCTATTAGAAGTTCTTTTATTAAACGCCCTGTCAATTCTATTGGAAGTTCCTTCATTAAGCGACCAGTCGATTGAATTATTAGTAGTTTTATCAAAAGAGACGTAGATTCTGTTAGAAGTTCCATAATCAAACGACTAATACATCCTATTGGTAGTTCCATTATCAAACGACAAATATATTCTACTGGAAGTTCCATCATCAAACTACCAATATATTCTATTGGAAGTTCCATCATCAAACTACCAATATATTCTATTGGAAGTTCCATCATCAAACGACCAATATATTCTACTGGAAGTTCCATCATCAAACTACCAATATATTCTATTGGAAGTTCCATCATCAAACGACCAATATATTCTATTGGAAGTTCCATCATTAAACGACCAATATATTCTATTGGAAGCTCCTTTATCAGGCGACCAGCTGATTCCATCAGCAGTAGTTTTGTCAAGATAGCTATAGATTCCATTGGAAGTTCGTTCATTAAGCGACCAATATATTAAATAAGAAGTAGTTTTATGAAAAGAGGTATAGATTCTGTCAGTAGCTCGTTCATCAAGCGGTCTGAAGAGAATGTAGACAACTAAGAGATAGAGACATATTTTCTTACCTCTACCCGGCAATGAAAAAAGAAGCGGAGCCTGACTGAACGCATGCAAATAAACTAGGTCCTCAACCGCCTCTACGACAACTGTCTAGACACTAGCTTCGATCTTACATATGCTGACGTTCCGAATCTTGTGGAGGAGGTACCGCCCAGAGAGTCAATGAAACCCTGAGAAGATGGTAAAGATTGGAGCTAGGCCTTATCTTGGCTCTCTGTTCTTACTTGACTCTTCAGCCAGATACTTCAGACACGACATGGACTTTCCACAATCTACAGAACGTCAGTAGAGCGTCGCTGATCTAGAGGATTGCACATTTTACGTTCTCGGGTCACTTGCTAGCATTCCCTTACACCATGTGACAACATTCTGATCCGTCAACACGTCGGTCTCCAAAGAACGATCCTGGCTTTACAACACAGACCTCCACATACTTGACTGCAGAGTTCAGGCTTGACCACAGACTTCAGGCTTCACTACAGACTTCAGGCTTTACTACAGACTTCAGGCTTTACCACAAACTTCAGGCTTTACCACACACTTCAGGCTTCACCGCAGACTTCAGGCTTCACCACAGACTATAGGATTTACCACAGACTTCAGTCTTCACCACAGACTTCAGTCTTTACCACAGGCTTCAGGCTTTACCACAGACTTCAGTCTTCACCACAGACTTCAGTCTTCACCACAGACTTCAGTCTTCACCACAGACTTCAGTCTTCACCACAGACTTCAGGCTTCACTACAGACTTCAGGTTTACCACAAACTTCAGGCTTTACCACAAACTTCAGGCTTCACTACAGACTTTACGAATTACCACAAACTTCAGGCTTCACCACAGACTTTAGGCTTTACCTCAGACTTCAGGCTTCACCACAGACTTCAAGCTTCACAACAGACTATAGGCTTTACCACAGACTTCAGTCTTCACCACAGACTTCAGTCTTCACCACAGACTTCAGGCTTCACTACAGACTTCAGGCTTTACCACAAACTTCAGGCTTTACCACAGACTTCAGGCTTCACCACAGACTTCTTCACTACAGACTTCAGGCTTCACCACAGACTTCAGGTTTCACCACAGACTTCAGGCTTCACCACAGACTTCAGACTTCACCACAGACTTCAGGCTTCACCACAGACTTCAGGCTTCACCACAGACTTCAGGCTTCACTACAGACTTTAGGCTTCAACGCCCCCCCCCCTTTTCTCCCACCCCAACAGCCACAAACATTCAAGTAGAACAACACCTACGTGCACTCTACAAAAACTACACACACCCACATATATCTGGACATTCAGTGATTGTCACATTCCCATTTAACCATCTTCGGCTGTGTCACATTTGCACAAATGATGTAGATTCGATTTTCAACTGACAAACTGTTTAATATTCTATAAAGTTTCATTTTGGAAAATACTGAACAATAAGTGATTATTACATTCAACCAATGTTCGACAGACAGTGATTACTACTTTTACAGAATATATGACAGTCAGTGACTATTACATTCACAGAATGTAGCACAATCAGTGGTTATTACATTCCCACAACGTTGGACAATCAATTTTATTACATTTACACAACGTTGGACAATCAGTGATTACTACATTCACATACTGAATGACAGTCAGTAATTATTACATTCACAGAATGTAGCTAAATCAGTTATTATTACATTTACACTGTCCCCCGTGTGGGTTCCGGGGCCCCATTGTGGGGAAAACAAGAATAGACCCACTGCCTCCCCAAAAGCATGTCGTAAGAGTCGACTAATTGGGAAGCTTCCTTTGAAGTCGGAGTGCATCTGCCAGAGAGGCTCGCGGCCAACAGTCTGTATTCACACAAAATGAGATCTGTAAAACTGATGCACACGCAACACTCAGGTTCTGGAGCAGGACTGCAGTTCAGTAGTGGACGAGCAACCAGAACCTTCCGCCAGTTTTACAGCTGGTGAACGTGAAGAAGAAGAAGAATTTACACTGTGTTAAGCAATCAGTGATTACTACAATCACACAATATTGGACAATCAGTCCTTACTGCATTTACACAAAATTGGACAAGCAGTGATACTTCATTCACTCAGTGTTTGACAATCAGTGATTACTATATTTACACAATGTTGAACAAGCAGTGATTGCTGCACTCACACACAGAACTGGGCAAAAATCTCGCGGCACCCTTGTAGGGCATACACACAAAATCTCGCGGCCCCCTTGTCGGGCATACACACAAAATCTCCTGGCACCCTTGTAGGGCATACACACAAAATCTCCTGGCACCCTTGTAGGGCATACACACAAAATCTCCCGGCACCCTTGTAGGGCATACACACAAAATCTCGCGGCCCCCTTGTAGGGCACACACACAAAATCTCCCGGCCCCCTTGTCGGGCATACACACAAAATCTCCCGGCTCCCTTGTCGGGCATTCACACAAAATCTCGCGGCTCCCTTGT